CAGGTAGGAGTCCCTGGGTGGTGCAAATGGTTAAGCACTTAAGGTTGGTGGTTTGAACCCACCAAGAAGTACCTCAGAAGAAAAGCCTGGTAATCTGCTTCCAAAAGGTCACAGCCGTTGAAAACCCTATGGAGGAGTTCCACTCTGCCCGCATGGGGTTTCCATGAGTTGGAATCAAATTGACAGCAATGGGTTTGGGTTTTTGGTTTGTGGAAGGATCCAAGGGCACTTATTCTCTTCTCCACGGCCAGAGTGATTTGGCAAAAAAGCAAATGTGAACCAATCATTGTGCAGCTCAACACCTTCCAGTGGCTCCGTGGGACCATGTCACATGGCCTGGAAAACATGTTGCTATGGAGTCGATTCTGATTCAAATCAACCCTATAGGACACAGTAGAACTGCCCCATAGGGTTTCCACGCGTGTAATCTTTACGAGAGCAGACTGCCACATCTTTCTCCTGTGGAGCAGCTGGTGGGTTCAAATCATCTACCTTTCAGTTAGCAGCCGAGCGCTTTAACCACTGCACCACCAGGGCTCCCTTGGCACATGGCAGGACCTCACAGTGTACTTTTTGGATGAAAGGGTAAACAATTCTGTAATCCCTTTCAGCTGGGACGCTGGGAGGTCCTGGGCCATGCACCCTGGGCCAGTCCCTGTTGTAGGAGGAAGCAGATGAAGCTTGTGAGTGATCGCGGGGAGAGTTTGCTCCCAGTGGCCTTGCTCTGTCCTTCCGCCCTTGATATCCTGTCTGGGCCTGAAGTCTCGGCCCCTAATCCTTGCTCTTAATGGAGTCTGCCTGGGCTTTGGGGTCTTTTTCCTGTTCCTTTCAGACCAGAAGGAGCACTGCACTATGAGCACTCCTGAGGTTCCCGGAGACTCAGAGGCTTTGACAGCAAGTTGGACCAGGGCTGAAGCAAGGGGCTTGTCCAGGTCCTGAGCCAAAGCCCAGAGCCCCAACACTAAGCACATGTGTGTCCGCTGTACTTACAGGTGACCTGGCCATGCCAGTCTTGAGAAGTGCACTTGGCAGGGCAGGCCCTGGTATAGGGTGTGCAGCCCACACTCCAGGGGGTATGCAAGGCCCAGGAACCAGGAGGGTAGATGTCTTGTGCAGAGCCTCCTGCAGATGATGGGCCAGGAGGCCCTTGTCTGTGCTCTTGGTGCCCCTTCTGGTACCCACAGTAGCACCCGGAGTTGGGGTCTGTGTGGGAGCCAGGCCTGCCAGAGTCTTGGGCACAGGCAGGAAGGAAGTGAACACCGGCCAAACACCAAGTACCAGGCTCCCAGGCTGGCCTCCTTTATGTGATTTATGTACAGCATGTCCTTATAACCTCCTTCTCATTTACAGTCCAAGTCCAGGTGGCTGAAGCTCAGAGAGGCTGAGTGTCCAGCCTGGGTCCTACAATTCTGCATGGAGGAGTTGGCCTGGTGCCGAAGTCTGTGCCTTTTGCTGTGAGGGCTGCCTCTCACAAGCCCTGGGCAGCCCCCCAGGGAGCCTGGGGATGTGAGAAGCCATTCTCTGCCCCTCCCCTCTCACTCACCCAAGCTTCAAGTCCTGAGGACACCCGTCTCTACTGCCTGAGCACAGGCCACTCTGCTGACCTGCCCCCCTGCCCCCCTTCCGGTGTCTCTGACTCCAGCCCAGCCCCCTTCAGCTGTCATCATTGGCTAGGTTCTTTGCGAACAGACCAGGTCGTTTCTTAGTGCTGCTATAACAGGAATACAAGTGGTTGGTTTTAAAGAACAGAAATTTATTCTCTCACAGTTTAGGAGGCTAGAAGTCTGAACTCAGGGCACCAGCTCTAGGTGAAGGCTCTGTTTGCTCTGGGGAAAGCCGTCTTTGTTTTTGCAGACCCAGCACTCCTTGATTCCTTGGGGAGCCCCACCGGGGCATCTATCTTTCCCTCTGTTTGTGCTTGCTTCTCCAGGCCTAATCTGCTTTTTTCATAACTCAAAAGGTTCATAGGTTTAGGACCCACCCTCCACTAATATGACCTCACTGACGTAACAAAGAAAACCATATTCCCAAATGGGATCACACCCAAAAGAGTATAGGGGTTAGGATTCCAACACATATTTTTTTGGGACACAATTCAATCCATCACAGACCCTGAGATGGAGTTTGAGGTGCGAGATGTTTACTAGAGACCAACAGCTGTGAAGGGGAGGGAACGGAGGCAGCACTGGGCAGACCTCGGCCAGCCGCACTCCTCTGAGTACTGCCCATGATGGGCCTTATACCCCACTCCTCAGTCACCGGGAGTGGGGTGCCCCGGAAGGGCGTGGCCTGGGATGAGGCCTCTCTCTACAGCTGAGGCAGACCCTGCAGGAGCAGGCAGCTGAAGGGTGGGCAGTAAAACCCTCCTAGAAGGGGGACCTGGGTAGCACATCCTGTGTCCACTAGCCTAGCCTTCTGTCCTCACGACAGCCAGGGTGATCTTTCTTAAGCTGGACTCCGACCTGGCCAGTCCACTCGGGACCACACGCTGGTACTCCTGGAGCTCTTCCACAGCCTTCCGTGGCCTGCCCCTGTGCCGCCCTCCGGCCTCACTAGAACGGCGGGTCCCCCAGCTCCGGGCCAGACCCGAGCCTCCGGGAGGACAGCCGAGTCCATGCCCTGCAGACATCCTGCAGGAAGACCCCTTACACCACTGGGTGGACCAGTCCTGGCTAGGTCCCTTCCTGGACTCTGGTCTGTCTCCCTGCTCCCTATATCACGTCCCACGAGAGCCAGGGCCCAAGCCAAGGATAGGAGCTCCTGCTTTCAGCGCCTTTGGCACCAACTCTTGTAAGGAAGCTCCATAGGTGCCGGGGCCTGAGAACAGGCCCAGGAGAATTCGCGCTGCAGGGGCCGTTGGAACACGATCTCCCGCTTTCCCAGTACCGGGCGGTGGTGGCCAGGCACTGCGCCACTGCGCTTCCTGCTCCCAGGTGCTTTCCTTTCCCACTTAAGGCTGCAGCGTGGGTGTCGGTCACCTGTGGGCCCGGGGTCTGCAGTCAATGTGGGTAACCCCGCCAGTGGGGCGTAGGACAGCCCGCGCTGACCACTAAACTGTTGCGGAGTGTGGGGCGCCCAGGACGTGCCGGGGGGCGGGGCAGGACCCCCGCCCGGCGTGAGGCCCGTACCTAGGGCCGTGTGTGGGCGGAGGCCGCGGGGCTTGGGAGGATGACAGGGGGATCAGGGACCAGGGCCGGGTCCTTCGGAAGAAACGCTCCTACTTCCGACCCGCAGCGCAAACATAGAACGGCCCAGCACCGCCAGCCGGCCGTTTACAAAGCCCCGCTCCGCGGGCCCCGCTCCGCGCCCTACGTCAGCACTCCCACGGCCGCGCGCCCACGGGCTCGACAGCGCACTGCGCGGGGCGGGCTCGCGGGCGGTGATTGGGCACGTGGGCCGTGACGTCAGCACGCCCGGCTCGCTCCGGCCTCGCAGCTCTGGGATCCGGGTTTTTGATTTTGCCGCCGCCTGGCGCGCACCCGGCCGAGTAGCGGGAGTGGGGCGCGCGCTCGGGCGCTCCTTGCAGGCGCTTCTCTGAGGTGCTTTTCTGAGGCGACTCGCGGGCTACCCTCCCTCGCCCCGTCGGC